TGTGGGGAAATGTATACAAAAATCCATAAACCAACCTTCTACTACTCAAGTTTTTAAATGACCCAGTAGGAAGCTTCCAAATATCCGTATTCCTCAAAACAACTTTAAAGTTTTTTTCAAGAAGTGATGGAATTATGAAAGGTAAAGGGAATTTGTTGGCTAAATAGTATATGTGTGCATATATATATATTATTTTTGAGACAATTTTTTCATCCAATTAAAAACAGTAGACAAGATAAATTCAAGTATTTGATAAATGAAATCCAGTCTACATTTGACTGAAAGGAATAAAAATCAGTAAGAGAAGTATTAGTGCTTTGCATGAGGGCTGTTCTGACAGGAAGATTATGTATTCCCACAACCCAGATAGCTGTGCTACATTTGGATGCAAATATATTCCTCACAAATAAAAAGAGCCCTTCACCTGGCTACTACATCCATGTTCTCAATACCCACAACAGATTTCCACCTATTCCTGCACAGCAGCTGCTGTATTAAAATCTTATTTTCCATTACTTTTACCATTTCACTTCAGTAATTTCTTCTGGTTTTCCTGTATCCTGGGTTACCTCCCTGCCCTGCCAGCCTCCCTCCACCCCTCTTCCCCAAGAAAGCATGAAGTGCATCCACTCCAGTCTCCTGCATCAGACAGTCAAAAGGACTCTATTCTTAGCAATAAAATTCTGTGCCAAAATCTCTTGAACCGCTTTCAGAATAAAGTTAGAAATTTTGTTCCACTTATTTTAATAATTCATTATCTATTCAAGGAAAAGGAATTATACTAAGCAAGAAGGTGAATTCACACCTTCCTTCCTTTCCTCGTAAATCCCAAAGGCTGTGCCTGTTAGCTCCATCCTCCTGCTCCGCGCCGATGCCCTGAGCCAGCCCATTTTCTCAGCACCATCTCCCACGGAGGATGACCACTGCTCTCCTCCATGGAGGACTCCTCTCAGGAAAGCCTGTGGAGAATCCCTGCTCTTCGCTGCTGGAGTTATCTTGGGCCCTCCGGGCCCTCCCTGTTGCCTCGTGAGGAGTGGTGGGTCTGAGCAGAATGTGGAGACCCTCATCTAGGGCTATGGTAGAAACATGGTTGGAATTTGGGTGCTGGTAGCAACTTTGACAACTTCACTGTTTCATAGGTAGATGTTATGGTGTCACAAAGAGGTGTTCTTCAGCCAGATGATAAACAGGAAACATTGCTTTCTCTGTCCTGGCTTCCTTCGCCCCTTTCGGTTTTATCCAGTAAAGGCCTTTTTGTTCCAAAGTTTTACAAGGCCACATTCGTTACTTGATTAACATTTACAAACACACAGACTTGCCTGTGACATCTCGGCCTTTTTTCCTTTGAGATCCTCAGCTGAGGGATGCTGCTGCATTGTACCACACGCTATGCAAATGCAGTAAATGGTCACTAGAACTGAGAACAGCCCTGCAGCTCCAGACATGCACCTAATACACGCATAAGTAGCTTTTTTGCTCCCCAGGCACTTACGGAGTACCAGCTGAAATGCCTGTGTTAGATCCTAATAATAACGGGTTCAGCTGGGTGTTCTCCACTGGAGCTGAAAATCCCTCTATTAAATACTAACTGCAGTCTCTTCTTAGTAAGAACTCATTATACACATCCCACAACCATGTCATCTGTGCCCTCTGACAGCTTTCAGGAAATCAGAAGAAATACTCTTCTTACTAAAACTGAATTTTTGCAAGCAGGAGCTCAGTAGAGGAGTTCAAATCACTAGCAGTGGTATTTGGAGTCTCTATTTCATGACTTCTCCATGATATTCAAGACCAATGTGCTTCTGCTCCAAGTGCATGGAAAATACTCCCAAAATGCAAATTTTGTTTTCAGGGTAAGAGATACTTTACAGTCCTCATCACAGCTCACATGCAAAAATGTATGAAGTCTAATCTTTATCTCTGTGTGGGAAAGCTATCGAAAACATGACTGTTGGAAAAGAAAGGTTTTCTGGAGAACAGCTTCACAATACCAGCATAAAACCGGCATTAAAGTGGCTCTGCAGCTAATGGAATGCAAAAGCAGCTCACTCAGTAACTTGATCCTTGGAAAGCATTAAAAAGAACTATATTTAATGATGCTATTGTTCAGTTGGACTAATTTGTGTTTAATTTCTCAGGGAAATTCAAATCTTTTATCCCAAGCAGGGATATTATTTTCTTTTTATATTTTTATCAGTGGTTCAATTGCCCCTTAATCAAAAAACAATGCAAGAGGGAGTATTTATCATTCAGCAGAGCATCTTGACTAATTTTATGGTCCCATATGTGATCACTCTGAACAGAAGTTCATACAAAGCGCAATTTACAGCATACTCAGAACTAGATGACTAAAAATAGCATGTGTAAAATTCAGTCTTATAAGACATGCACCCTTTGGGTTTGAGCTGATGTTCACAATATGATTAAATATACTCTGGGTGCACAAGTATGCATTCAGTATTAGCAGCTAGAAAAATCATTCTGTATGCTTTATCCTAGAAACAACTCCCTTAGGTGTTTTCAATTGTATTTATTTATGATTTAAAAGGGGCTATGGAACAATACCTTGTATCTTACACTTTAGCTTAAGCTTGTTATAAACAATGAATAATGAACTCCTCTGGTATTTGGAGTTGTTATTCTTGCGGCAGCTGTACTGCAAGGCTTGATTTTATGACAGAATTATAGCTAAAAGTCACCATTAATTTTACATAGAGAAGTTCAAGCAGTCATCTGCTATGCATCCAGCACAAAGGTGATTTCCAGGGGATTTCACCCATTTATCAGTTTGACAGAGAATCAGCCTCTGTGCGAAGCTAAAAAAGAACTGAAATGGTGAAATACTGACTCTTCCTAACAGACACACGTAACTCACTTCAACAGGAAACAATGAAGTCAAGCCAGAGTTAAAAAAAGTTCAAAATTATACTGAGACCAAAGTGAAATTTTAGAACTATTACTGACCAGAAATTTTCCAGTCAAATGGAACTATTACCACAAGAGAAAGACAGAATGTTATATTTAATACTACATGTGCTTCACTCTGGGAAGTCTGATGCCACTCAGAAACCTAAATCTAGTCTGAGATTCAGAGAGGGCAGTGGAATGGATGTTGAACAGAAACACTGGTTACTGTGTTTGATCTTGGGCATTCAGAATGAACAGTTAAATGTCAAACAAATGAAGCAGAGCTGACATGGAGCCTTGCTCTGCCAGTCACACCTGACTTCACCGCCACCCAACCTGCTGCCTTCTGCCTTGTTGTTCCTTTGGAATGAAGAAAATTCTGCTAACATTAGTAATATTCTCTCAAGGCCCTCCCAGTCAGATGCCACAGTGGCAGCAAGGACTGATGCTGGTGACCAGCATCGCCTCTGTAGCACTTACACAAACACAATTATATAGCTTTCTCCCAGCCTTCATCCCAGTTTATCCCTATTACCTTGTCTTAACCACAGGTGTGTGTTGAGGATGAGTTTGATTCTGTCTCTTTCTACAGAAGGAAGTATCTAATCTTACTTAGGCTGTAACAATACTAAAATAAGATGTATTAAAATAAGATGTTCCTCTCCCTAGCAATCAAATGTAATACTGATTTCTGATATCGTCATTTACCCAGCAATAGTAAAATACTCTTGCTAACTTACAAATGTGCAGATAAGATTCCAAAAAGCCACTACCATCAAATATGCACTATTACACAGCATTTATACTGAACCACCTGAGAGTGGAAGGCCCATCTTGCACTTTAGTTATCAGGGTCAATTTTGACAGCACATAGGAAAAGGACAGAATAATATCCAGCCTCAGCTGACCAGAGCTGTTCCTCTCTACAGTGCAGCTGTAGAGAGGTGCACTCACATTGCTGTCTGGTTGCACCTAGAAGGTGGCTACCAATGGTATCTTTGTGAGCAGACGGAGTGTCTGTGTGATTCCCTGTCCACTCATGCTGTCGGAAGCAGCTCCAGCTGCCTCAGGGGCTGGTTCTCCCCACATTTCCCTTTCCAGAGGGATTTCAGTGGGAACAGAAGAGTGAGCGCAGTACAGCACAGATGACTGTCTGAAGGGTGCCTCAGCTGTGCCTTGACGTCAGACACTAACCCTGGCTACACAGCCCTCGGGAGCCTTCATTTCAAAACCACGTTTGCTACAAACACACTTGGTGTATCTGCGTCAGGTTTCTCTAAACAGCCTTCTTCCAAGTATTGATTGCTACTAATATCCAGATGTTTACACTGCAAGAATTCCAAGGAAATACATGCTCCAGCCCTCAGCAGCATTTCTGTACTTGTATCCTGTTTTCTGTGGTTGTATTTTAACAGAATACTCTTAAACATGAAGTGCAGGCAAGACTACGTTAAACAGCTCAGCACAGAGCTATGAAAATAACACATAAACCCATAAACTAAACAAATAAATTTGTTCTGTAATACTAAGATTAAGCTTGGTCTTTACAGGAGCAAATCTATTGGAACTGCAAAAGTTTTCAGCCTCTTAATTAGCTTCTTACAGAAGAATCTGCTGCTGTTAGCAACCAGGATATCTCCACTTTGCCTTTCTCTACAGAGTGAATAAAATACTTCTGGATGTAATTCACTTCAAACCAGAATGAATAAAGATCATGAACCTCATTGATTTAACCAATCCAATTTATCCTATTTCAGAATTGAAAGTTCTTAGACACACAGAAATAACTGTGCACATATGAAGTCTCAGTGACAACTTGTTCTGCTTTTAAATTTAAGTGCACCAAAACTGGGCCGTACCAATCTGACAGCAGGAGAGTTTTAAATGTAGCATGGTCTTGTACTTGTTAAGTACATCCCTATCCTTAAAAGATACAAATATATAGTTTTTACAGCACCTGTTCTCATTTTGAGGACCTCAGTGGTATTTAACGCTCTATAATCGACAACAGGACGTTAAGGAATTAACACTGCTTGAAACATTACAACTCCTTCTTCTAGTTTTCATTCTGTTGACAGAGAAAGCCCACGTACCAGGATCTTTGTAGTGTAAGCACTGTTGATAGCAATTGCGTTAACCAGCAGTTCGAGGGTTTTGGCGGGTATGGAGTCTGGGTCAGGGATCTCTTTGTAGTGGACATCCCCAACGTAGGCTTGGACCACTGTCATCCGGTTGGTCGTCAGTGTCCCTGTTTTGTCGGAGCAGATGGCTGTAGCATTACCCATAGTTTCACAAGCATCTAAGTGGCGGACCAGGTTGTTATCCTTCATCATTTTCTGAGGAAAAGCAAAATAAAGAGCTGTCAAGAGCTGCTTTGACACATTTATAATGTCAGTCAGGAAAAGCAAAATGCATGTATTTAGTCTTGTCCATGAGTACACAACACTCACTGAACTAGAACTCTGATTGGGGATGATAACCCAATGCTTAGTCACAGACAAACAAGCAGTGACTAGCCCTGCAATAATTTTGCCTTCATAAACCAACACAGTCCTGCCCTTTTTTGCAATATATATACATTTTAAGGAATAGCCAGAACAGCAGAGATTAGCTAAAGAAACTGAAGATAGCAAGATTTTTTTTAAACAGTATCATTAAATGTTAAATAGTACCATTACATGTTTTCTATTCCCAGTGCCAGGATGAGATGTGGCAACACACCAAGGGACCACACATTTGGGGAAAGAAACAAACTAGCAACAAATAACCAGCAACCACAAAAAACCCCACGCTACAAAGAACCACCACGGTAGAGTACTCCATTCCACAATGCACCTGGAAATGCACAGTCATTGCTTCTGTCTTCTCAACATTAAAACCACCCTGTGTCCCATCACCTGACATTACTGTCAGACACTATCATATCCTCAGAGGGTGCAGTACCACCCCTTGTACACACAGCTATATGGCAGCTGGACACTGCACATACAGATACTCACCTGTGTGCTGCACGTGTTGTAGGAAGGATATAAGGAGACTGGGAAAGCATTTTAAAAGCAGCTAAAGTCTTTATTAGCAAAATGCCATCCTTGAGAGGAGCTCCTTTTTCCTGATGACGATGATGTTTGGCTACATATAAATAGAGCTATTCCTTCCTAATGTTCAGACATTAATTTAGGTACATGCTAAGTAAACTTCACAAAATCTTCATCTAAGATTCGTAAAATCTGACTAAGCTGCTAAAACAATCTGAGAAAACTCCTGAGATAAGAGTCATCCACAAGTGCAGGATTTCAATCCTCTTTCGTTTCCTCACAGAATCACTTACACTGGCTACAAAGAACTGCAACTGCACTTCAGAAAAGGACATGAAAGCTCCGGTGAAACTCTCATTTCTTTGAAGTGTTCCTGAAGGCTTCAAACCCTTGTAAAAATTCTGTACTATTGCACAAGTAAAATGTGAAGACAAAGTTATTCTGTGTGAAAATCTCATAGTAAATTCTGCTCAATAAATTCCTGGTGCCCTTGCAAACTAAGTAGGTGTTTCTGCTGCACTGGGTAGTTTTAAAGACACGTATTAGAATACATGTGTACTTGCAGTTTTGACAGATACTTTTAATATAAAGCAAAGTGTCACATCAAAGGAATTCCACTCAATATTTTGAGCACATTTATTTACAGGCCACTCTTCATCACACCTAATAAAACCTGAAGACTCACTAGTAAACTCAACTGAACAGCATTTTCTCCCGTAATTATTATTAATGCCTCTTACCTTTACAGAGTAAGCCAGAGAAATAGTGACAGCAAGTGGAAGTCCCTCAGGAACGGCAACCACAAGTACAGTAACCCCAATAATGAAGAATTTAACAAAATACTGAACATAGACAGGAGTGCACTCAGGCAACCACTGCTTCTTGTTGACCACAAACGTGTCAATGGCAAAATATAGTACCAAGATTATTACAGTGATGGCAGACATCACCAAACCTGAAAAGAGAAATAATCAATTACTATAAACAAAAAAAAAAAAAATAAAACCATGTGCAATTAGAAATCTACATTAGAATTTTCTTATTCTACATGACGCTTTTCACCAGTACCAATAATGATGATAATGATATACTTTACAATGCAGAAAAAACATTCCTATAATGCATTTACAACAGCCCTACATTTCAGTGAATAAGGAAATGCTGAACTCTACAGAACAGCTGAATCATATCATGTTAATTTTTAAGCACCATCTTACTGCTGCCACTAAAGCTTCACAGTCGGTCTGGTTCCACAGGAGCTCGCTGTTACTGGAGGGTTTTCCCTTTAGTGCAGTACTTTGGTACAACATTTAGCTGTCCTTTTAACCTCCACCTTTCACAAATTACTGGTCTACCCACATTCAAACACTCATCTTTCTTTTAAATAAGCTTATCTTAAGAGGCTTGAGAAAAGGAGTCTCCTGTAGTTTATGTTGCTGTATAAGATATTTTAGGAAAGCCTTATTGATGTGCCTGGCTGAATACAATGAGGCAATGCTGCAGGATCATCCACAGAGCAGGTTTTCCCTGCTTTTCTTGAAAATGTGATAAATACCAGTGTGTCCAAGGTTTCCCTTCTCCAAGGGAATTTGTAAACCGCATGTACTTTTATGAAGAGAGGCTCAAGGGGTCTGACACTGACAATAGAGCACAAGAGACACCAATTCATGGAAGATCTCAGGGACTTAATATGCTCTCCCAGTGACACAGACTTTGCTAAGCAAGCACTCCCCCTCTGCAGTTTTGTGCCTGGATTTGAGCATACAAATACAAACTCCGTTGGAACATCTATTTTGCCTTCTGTGATTGCTGCTCTTTGGCAGGTTTCTATGCAGCCATTAAGCCTGCATTTCAGTGTGAATTAATTTCTCTCTAATGAGATCATACGGGAGATGTAGAATGCTGTGAATTTCATGTCTTGACTGGGTAAGCTGAAGGATGCTAAGGTTGACAGGAAGCAGATGAGCCATGGAGACTGGTATATGCCAGAGGATAAAGGAAAACCATTAAAATATTGTAAAGGCAAATACTCATGACAACGCAAGACATCCCCACAGATTGCCCAATGACAAAGAAAAATCAAATGAGGCAATAATTAATTGAATTCCTATTACTTGCCACATTTCATTTAGAAATCGCCGTTATCGCTTTAAAAGTGATAGTCACATCTATGCAGAAATACCAAAGAGAGTAATAAACAGAAGGCAAGGCAGAAAGGTATTTAAGGTATTTAAGATATTAATGATCATGAGAAATGAAGTGGTTTTATATCAATGCAACTGTTTTACAACTAGCAACAAAGCAGAGAAGATTAAGGAATATGAAACTGGCCAAAGCATGAAACTGGACATGAAAGAGATGATACCCACAGATTCTAAGCCATGGACTGTTCAGGTGGAGATAGAAGTGGCATCATGGTGTTACATGATCAACTAAGTGTAATGAACTTAGAAAGGAATGAGAAGGACTAGCAGGGGTAAAATCAAACTGGTAAAGAAGGATAAAGGAGACTGCACAGAGGTAAAGTTAGGAATCTGGTGTAGGGCGTCTGCCAAGGATCTGGATAGAGATTAAGTTCTCTTTAACACCACTAGAAAAAAGAATCTAATGAATATTATGTCATTATGAAAGAGTTTCACTTTCTACCTACATGTTGGAGAAGTGCTACTTCTAACAGTAGGGACCAGGTGGTACTGGATGTGTCATGTTTGGGTAAAAGGCAGGAATATGGATATTAAGAGAAAACAGAATGCTTTCTGAATCAGTAACAGGACATGCTGTGTGAGTGGTATTTTGTGAGGATATTAGAGATTCTGAAACTGTGTACTCAGAAGTTCTAAGTGGAGAGGAAATTAAATTTGTAATTACTGCATTTGGGAATCTTAACTATGACAAAAGCTACCTTTCATTTTGATTCAAATATTCATTACAATCCAAGTTGCCTAAAGCTTCCAGTTTCTTGACAATCAAAGCTAAGTTTTAGGAGAATAAAAGATCTTCAATACCACATAACTATCTTTAGAAAAGCATTAAGATGACCCATTTCTAAATATTGCAGTAAGAGGCCCATCCTGTTTTAAGAATAACTGGCTCTAAACCCCTTTGTCGCCAGTATAACATACTGCTTCCTCAGTCAGTTATCCGGTCATACCTGCTTTGCCTATCTGGACTGCCAGCTTGGTCAGCTTTCCCTGAAGAACAGATTTTTCCTTCTTGTGCATGTTGGATTTCTTCTTGTCTTTGTCATCTCCCTCTCCCCCTTCTGCACTCTTCAGCGGCTGCATCTCCATGGCAGCAGCCCCATCCTGCTGCTTGGCTAATAATGCAGAACAGAACAGTTACTCCAAAACTATTCATTCCTTTTATTGTAATGTTGATACTGAATTCAACCAGCAACAGTCATTGAAGGGGCTGACTGCAACACGAATGACTATTTCTACGCACAGGATTACACTTCACTCCCATGGCAGTCAGATACCCCTGTGAGACCCAGGGGGCTTCTGCATGGCACAAATGTACAAGCACACCCATGTGCACCCCATAAACATGGGTATCAGGGCTGCACTCTTTGTCAAGCACCATGAAAGTCATTGGGTTTTATTTATTGGTTGATCTTTTTAAACCACCGATGACATTCTGTGTTATACACATATATATCACTTAATGTCTTGTAGATTACTTGGCTAGTAACAGTACAACAGTACATGCAGGTTTTCCTAGAATAGATCTCAAAAGCTTTGGCAAATAGACAGTCTGTGTTTCTCTAAATGCTGTTATGCCTCATAGATTACAATGCACCCTTACAGTCACACCTCTCATGAAAACATTTTAAAGGTAACGTAGTCCCACAGATGATCTATGGGCCTCATCTCTTGACCACATGGGCACCGCAAAGACCAGTGGATCACGTTTCATGAACTGCTATTCTAGGTAAAACCAGACTTTAAAAGTTTCCTTAGCATTCGGTATTCAAGTAACTTAACCATCCGATGGGGACACCATCATTAGTCTCACATAAAAAAAACTACACCATTTAAGGGCCAAACCATCCGTTCTTGAAAGAACGAACGCTAATGCTCATATAAGGAAACTTTATTTTAGTATCAAAGAGAGAGATGTGTTTTTTTTAAAGCAATGACATTCCAGTTTATATATGTGTATGTATCTGGTTTGTATCGAACACAGACATAAGTAAATTAAACAGAATGAGATGAAACAGCTTTGCTTTGACATTCGTGAAGAGCTTGTACAAAACTGTGCTTATTTGATCTGGAAATCTAATTCGACTACCTAACCTTAAGCCTTACTTGTTTAATACCATTTTATTTAATAGTTTTGTATCATTAACCACTGAGCTTATCTGTTCAGTTTCTGATCTATCACCTCTGCAATCTTCAGTACTATCTGAAAAGAGAAAGCTGTAGTTTAGTTGACTTCTTTGGCATGACCCAAAGAAATTGTGATAACTGTGTCTCATACAGTAGAAAGGGAACCATGACTTTGCTTCAGAGAAAGCAAACTGTTTATTTCAATTCCATCCTGAGATTGAACGTTAAATAAGGAATTCCCAAGATTCTTAATCTTCCTGTTATTTATCCTTATACTATACTCTTACATTGCTGAATAACCTCTTGGCTTTTAGGTTTCCTTTTGTTACTGCTTTACCTTCTCCCTGCAAAAGAAAATGTGTCCATACAATGCCATTAAACACCAAGGTGATGAGACATATCAAAAATAGGGTTGGAAATCCACTAACAATACATAGCATACGTAACTTGCACAAGAAAATGGATTTTAAATGAGCTTTGTGACATGAAAGCATAATCTATAAATGGCTCATTAGAAACACTGCTCTTCTCCTATCCTAAATATCTGTAAGTTATAAAAACCTAGGAAGGTTTCTTTGTCAGGTTTGGTTGGTTGGGGCAGGGTTGAACATTCTGTTTGAACAACAGGGCCACTTTTACACACAGGCAGAAATCACAGATTTTTATGTTACTTTTTAACAGAATTTAACTACATGCTAAAAATAAAATCCACAACCTCCTTAATACGAAAGAAGATTACCTTTGTTCTGGCTGTTCTCCATATTCCCATCCTGCATTTTGCCTATATGATGAAAAATTTCAACAGACAACAGACAGTAAACAACCTTTGCCCAAGACAGAACATGAAAATGGGAATTTACATAAAAAAGGGCAGACAAAAGCAATGAGCATGTTACAGGTACTTCTTTATGGTCAGAGACCATTGCTATTATACATCTACTTAGGACGACTTAGCTGGACACATTCATGGACTGCAGTCAAGTTCAGTGTTGTAACATATAAATATTAAGTATCAGCACATGATTTTGAGCAAATTGCAGAAGTTGAGAGGGTGAAACTAAAAAAAAGAATCCAGTGGAAATTAATATTTGAATAATATTCCTGAAATGAAATTTCAGAAAACTGGGACTTAACCACAGGCGTAATTTTTGCACACTGCAGTATACAGCATGACTATCTTAATGTAGTCCAGAATTAAATTCACTATTTTAGTAAATTAAGACAAAATATAAATAATTGTGTCAACGAATATGAATAAAAATGTAAATCATAAATGGTTTTTAACTTGCATTTTCCTCCCCTAGTTGTATTACTTAGCAAGTTAATCAAGTGCCATGAGATTGTTCTATAGTCAGGTTTATCCTGAAGAAATACTTGCCAAGTGCATCCAATTTCCTATTTTAGCTACAGAGAGCCTCAGCGTTCTAACGTCCTTATGTGATTTCTTTCTTTTTAAAACTGAACATACACCATTTGAAAGTGTCTATGAAATACCAATGGCAGAACACAAACTGGAGTGGACAAAATCTTGGTGTTTGAATCACCAGCAAACAATTTCAAAGGTACTCAAAATTTCTTGGTGGGATCCTTAGGAAATTTTCACAGTGACATCGGAATTTATCTCATTGAAAAGACTGCTTGAGTTTTGTAAATGTGACAGTCAGAAGGGATGACATTCTCTTTGTATAATTATGTATAATGCACAATAAATAATGCTAAAGAAATTTAACAGTTAAACCACCTTTACAGGATTTCTGACACATTCCAATCAGAAATGCATCGTTAGAGTTTGTAAAACTATAAAGGCTAAGGTGCATTTCCTGCATCTTTGTATTTTCAGTAACTGGGAGATCACTAAAACCTTCCCTGTCCAAAAGAGGACAAATGGCCAAATCAGCCATGAATTCATCACTTCACCCTGTGCTAGCGAGCCGCAGGAACTGAGAGCCTCCAGAGCACAGGAGGCCAATCACGGCAAGGGGGTCTCAGATTTCTAACTCTGTTCCCATCTTGGCTGTAATAATATATAGTATATTCCCCTTTGCCATGAGACATGCATGGACGAACCCAAACAAAACCAAGTTTGTTTTTGCTGTGGAATTTCCTGAAGAAATTGTACACAGAGTTCACAGTTGAACTTGCTATCTCTCTAATGGCTATTTTTTTAAGAATGGTTTTTAATAAAGTTAGTGGAAGACATAAAGCATCTCTAGAGGTTCTGGCTAGAGGATAAAGCCTTCCTTAAGAACTGGAAAACCCTCATTTAGAGCAGTCTGCTCTATAGCTCTCTTTTCAGAACGCAAATCAAAACCTTAAAGCAGTATAATTGATGATTCTGCCATTTAAAAACCAAAACAAACCCAAGCCCAAGGCTTGCATAACTGGAAAACACAACATTTTTTTTTTCTATGTAAATCCAAGTATTTAATTTGATGCTATTTATTTGCTGTTTAGTAGTGGTATTATAATTGTTGTAATGAATTACACTAACAATTCATCTACCCTGGCTACCATAAACCAGCAGGACACCAAATGGATAATCACTAACAACAGTGAGAACACCAATATGTAAGAAATATATTCTTAACCTCAGCAGCTACTGCGTTTAGGTTGTTGGGGCAAGGGGAGAGTCATCACAGCTAGTTATTTTCTGATTATGTAGATAGAATAACAAAGAACAGGTAATTTAGGTAATTATGACAGAGAAAATATAAAGAAAAGAATGTAAAGGATTTATTTCCTCCTGTTCAAAATAATTTTAAGCTTGCACTTGGATATAAATTATGAATAAAGGAAGAAATTAAGAAAGAAAATGAGCTGACAGAATCACTACTGCTGAGAGATCCTTTCTCCTTTCAGTTAGTGCTAGGACCAGAAATACTATCCCATCTTTCTGGTTTTTTATGCATTGTTTAGAAACATTAAAGGGATGAGTATTTACTGATATTTTGATAATGTTTTATACATAATTCTTTTTTAAAGTGTAATCTATTTTCCCATAAATGTTGCAAATCTTTTCTTCTTTTCTTTTTTGAAATAAGTAAAAGGAACAGTGTTTGGGCCCTGGAGTCCAATTCTGAGTTTATTTTTATCACTTTTCCAAGCAAGGATGATGGTTTATTATAAGAACACAGAGCCTCCTACTATGACTTGCATTCTGCAGTTGCTCTGAAGGTTCTGAATTTGAATATAACACATTCTGCATGTTGTCTTTGCCTTACTAAAATCTGTCCTTTGGAAAGCACCCATGGCACCGGTCTTGAGCTCCTACTCTGAAAGACAGGTACTTCTCCAAATAAACCTTCCAAGACAAGACTCCCACCTACCTCTCCCAGCCCTTTCTGAGGAGTCAGTGGCACAGAATAACAAAGATCTATCACTGGCATTAGAAACTGTTTGTACATGGGAGGAACTGCTCGGTATCACCTGAAGCAGCTAATGGAGCTGTGTTCTTATGTGCTGTGATGGAGCAGAAAAGCACAAAATACCCTGTGGTTTTTCCACAAGGGCTCCTCTTGCAATGGAAATGAGTTATAGCCCTCTTCATGCCAAGTTTTAGTCTGCTGCTAGCAGGAACAGACGCACATTGCAAATCTATATATAGGGGGGAAAATGACGTCAAATGGATCTGCAGTGAATACTTGGAATTCTCTCATGCAGGCTGGTATCAGAGCCAACGCATTAGTAAAACACAGGTTGATTACAAAAGTACAGATCTGACTCCACTTTACCTAACAGGAAGTTTTAGCCAATTCTCCTATGCACACACTAAATAACTTCACTTACAGTTCAGAAAATACTTAAAAATGTATTAAAACTGCAGATTGTTCTGCAGGAATTGCACAGTGATGTGCATGCATGTGCCAGAACTGACAGAATTAACGGTACCTACTGAGTATTTCAGCTGAGACTTTTCTCTGGGTCTGCTGGGGTATTTCTAGACCAGAATATAATTTTCAGTAACAAATTCTGGTACCAAATGGAAAAACACCCCCAACAACCTGATATGGAGTAGGAATGGAGCAGTGCTCTAACAACAGCGATGAGCACTCCTTTCTCTAATGAAATCAAATTTGGGGTAAACAAGCTGAAACAGTGATTGCCGTTTCCCGTATTTTCTTCTAAAAAAATTTACCTTTTCTAAATGCACTTTAAAAATAGATGAATTTTCATTAATTACATTTCTGTAACATTTTCTCATCTACTTATTCTAAAAACTGAACATATTGCCCGTAGTTTTAACAGAGACCATCAAACAGTTATGTATTTTAATCTCAACTACTAGAACTCAACAGATGTTATAGCAGTTCCTTCGATACACACAGATTGTGTCACAAACCTGCACAAATTTAACACTATAAGCTCACTGACTGAAAACAACTGATTTCTTTTGTGTCAACTCTATATTGACAACTAAGACAATATTCTCTCTGAAATGGTAACATATTTTCAATTAACAAGCAACAGTATTTCCTGAGCTAGGTACTTATTCAAGTATATAATATCTTTTTTTTAATTGGAGGTACTTGCTACACAGAGGTATAGGACTTCAGGTAAAACATGCTTCTTTCCAGTCACATCTCAGGGAGAATCCTCTGACATTATTGAAAAAACATTATTTCATCCCTACTGAAAAAATATCTGCATGAACTTGGTCTCCTTGCTTTAGACCTTACTTTTTTCCTTCCTTTCTCCCATCCAAACCCCCTTCCATACATACCTACTTTATTCTCTAACTCATCCTCATCGCTAAGTAGGGAAACGTGTCGTATAAACACACTGGAATTTGGCAATTTCCCAGACAATTTCAAAGAAGGGCTGACCCTACTTGCCAAGAATCTGTTCTCCTCTGCACACAATGTCAGATAAGTTGAACCGTGGAAAGTATCTCCTGTTCATGTTGATCAAAGATCTGCAGAATTAATTCTACCACCTCACCTCAAAGGAGTTAAAAGCAAAAACATGCTCAGCTGCACAAAAAACTGACTTCTGCACTTTGTGCACTGAAACCAAGTGAGGATCTATCTCTCAACTCCAAGCTAAACAGGACAGTATTGTTTCTGATGGGAAAGTATATGACAGAAAATCACATACTTACTTAAGACACTGACTTAACTTCCCTTGGAACTCAAATTATAGACAAGGTTCAGGCAGTAAGACAGAACATAAAAGGTATTTACCAGGCAACTAAAGCTTGATAACGTGGAAACGAGGTTAGAACTATTTAGGACTCATCTCTGCATCCTGCTGAGTGGCAGTTGTCACCCAGCAAAGCACATAAGCAGATGCTTAACTTTGTGCAACTTGCATGACTGTGACACTGCAGTCTGCAGAGGGACTGGGGGGTGATACCTGGCAAGACTTGGTATGCGTACATCTGGTTTACACACAACAAAGTAGAATTATAGAGCATAAAGAATGGGGAATGATACATTCACTGTTAATTTCCTGGTTCTTGGTCTCTAAGGAATCTGAAATCACAGTGCAGGAACCAGGATGATACACGTTCCTGTCATGCAGTGAGATGTAGAAATGATAAATCCTAGTGTCCCCACAAACTTAGCATGTGAAGGAGCAGAGTTAAAATCTGGTTACATGTTTCTTTTGAATCCTAATAAAATTCTTTTAAAATCGCCTCAGAGATTTCCTTTGCCATTGCTTTAAATAAGATATTGCACCAGTAAATCTTCGTACTTGTCTAGTACTTGGCATTGCTGTGTCAGAAGCTCTGGTTTCACATGCATAATGCAAGAATGACTGACCTGCATGGAAAAAACATTCTATCACCAACACGATGAAAAGCAGAAATACTGTTGTCAGTGTTCCTGGTGCAGCACAAGAGTGGAAGGGTTTTATGGCAAATAAAGACTAATGCATCTGATTATTACAAAAAATAGAGCTGCTGCCTAGACTAATATTGACCCATTCCACTTAATACTGTTATTAGACTATTCAAAGAGATATCTGCATGCTAAGAAGTGGGGTCAAGAATCTGTACTAAGAGACAGCCAAAACTGACTACTGCAATATTTTTTTGTTTCTTTTTCGTAAATACAGGCAGGTTCATTAGATGATCCCTGTCTAATCTTCCAAAAAAGATGCTCAGCGCAGCAAAATTCCTAACACACTGTTAGTTGAAACCGAGCCAGATTCCTGATCCCAAGCACTGTTTCTCAGAGCTGCATGAAGACTAATGAATACTTATGAGAGTGGCACATCAGAAGAAGAGAGAATCATTTTATCATGGTGTTCTTCAGATCTATGCTGGCAAATATGTGAAGAACTTTACAATGAAGGCAGCTCAAAAGTTTTGAAACTAGCCTTGCTTAACTGTTCCTTTTAACTGCAGTTTTAATTAATGACAAATAGATCATAATTCCTACTTCTTCCTCTCCCTGCTTAAATCTGTGTGAATGAAGCCAGTTGTAGCATCTTTGTGGCATCTCTTATAAGCTACCATAGAGTTTACGGAGTAGGATCTCTCAGAGGGCAATCACATGCACATATAACATCTGTGCAGTTCATCAAAGGAGGAGGGGATCTTACAGAGTCAGGAGAGGAATCTATCAAATACAGCAAACTGGGTGTTCGTGACGTACCATTGACTAAGCTGGCATTTGCATTACCAGTGGCATTTGCACCTGCTGCACCATCTGTAGCTGAAGGAGGGTGGGAGGAGGGATGGGAAGAATCTACTGAGCAATAATGGATAAAAAAAACAAAATATAAATAATAATAATAACAACAACATGAACAAATGCATATGACAAAACAAAACCATTTATGGAATACTGAGGCTTTGTTTTCTTCAAATCAATCTCGTTTAAATTAATTAACATAATTTTCAAAAGCAAAATATCATTACAGAGATGTTACAAAAGCAAAAACTCATACATGGAATAACAATAAGTAAATAAAATGAAAGGCATTTAATAGAGTTGGTGAGAACTGACAGTACACAGTATTATGTGCATTGCACTGGTCCTTTTATGTGTGACTTGTTTAATATAATGTTATGCAAATATTAAAATGGTTGAAATATTTCCCTTGAGTTTATGAATCTACACATTACATTTTTTTTACATTATTATATTACATTTATGAATTCACAACATTACAGATCTTGTATTTTATGTCATGTTGCATATTATGATGTGTTATTGCTGATACAACCCAGTCTAACATGGGCTCAACCTATATCCTACCATAACCTAGTTAATATGCACACTGACCTGAACAGAAACATTAAGCTTTTCAATATTGTATGTGGAAATGGCAAATGAAGTTTTGAGGAGAACAAGGAGTTATTTTAAATCCAAATAACAAATGGAACTGGTTTGTTATGAAATGAAAAATGTATCAGAAAATAATTTTTTTTCTGGTTTTAGCCATTATCTGCAAAGTAGTGAAACCGGTCAAGAAATCTTTCCTAGCAGGAAGGTGGAAAACCCAAAGAAGGTTTTATTACTTTATTATGTGTTTTATACTAGAGTTCACAAGTTTAGCCTCTGTACATAACAGATTAACTAAGCCTTGTTTGGTTCGTGTTGGTCAATTGTTCTCAATGGAACACAGAAGTCCTGTAATGAATCCTGATTGAGACTCTTGGACTCCCGCAGCACCTAACCCATAGTGGCTGTTTGCCACTGTACTGGTTTGGTATTCAAGAACGATAGCATCCTTTTATTTACAAATGGTAAATTGGGAGAGGAAAATAAACAGCAGACAGGAGTTAAAAACATGCCCTGGGTGACTACGTTCGTGCAAATTTTAATTGCAAATTTGACTGCTGTGCTGGTAATAACTTAAACTGTTTTGGTTACTCATGCTTATTTTTTATGCCATTTGGATAGTCACACTAACCAGCGCAGCATGAACTACCAGCAGCAAATCATGCATTCCAACATTTAATATGCTGTAATTTGCTTCAGAGTAACTGATTATTCAAGCTTAACATTAAGACTTGCAACACCAACAATGCACGCACACTGAAATGTTTGCCACGAACAATCCTGCTGATTTAAATTATTCTTTAATTTAACTGCACTGATTCAAAGACAATTATCAGTTCAACCATGATTTGCCCCAAAGCTGCTGGCTAAAAGCCTCATCCTTTCATTTGATGTGGTACAATTCTTACTCTACCTGGAAGCTGATGTCCATCCTCCTGTTTCACACCTGCATGATGGTTTTTAACAGAATATTAATGAACAATAAAAGCATGCACCCACAGGAGACTGAAACAAACATTTATGATTCGCAGGGTTTCAGAGAGTTGCAGATTCATACACAAGAGTACATTATGTGAGGCTGGGCCTCAATCTACAGCCAGCTCTGCCCAGCCTCTCCTCTGCACCAGCACAAAGCTGCTACCAACAGTAGAAAACGTGAAGGGATTTTCTTGGTATTGTAGCTATATCCAATTAGATTCAGTGTCTGCATATAAAGTTCTTTGATACATGTGTCAGAGTCTCTGTGTCTGGGTAGTAAGTTACAAGCACAGTGCAGTGCATTACTCTGCTACCTCTGATTTCTCTTTCCCTGTCTTTCAAGGCCATCTACAAAGAGACACGAGAGAATCATCAGTGTCCTGAGCAAAACAACACACAGAGAAGGCCAGCCCAGTTAAACAGGGACAGCAGGGCAAATGGCTGTCACTTCCAAACAGGTACCAAGCTTCCTCTTCCTCACCTATAATACCCTTTGTCACTGCCAAAACAGATGCTGCCAGACCTCAAAAGGTCCATGGCCAAGAGCCTTTCTTTTAATCGCAGCAAGATCAAACTCTAAGATACTGTTCAAAACCAGTCTGACATGGAAGAGCTTTACTTTGGGAAGTTTCAGCCTGAATGGTCCCGGAACTAACCATGCCTAGCAGGTATTGTGAATTTCTGGGTAGAAATGAAAGGGTAAACATTGCATAAAGCCTTCCATCAACTCAAAAGGGATCTCCTCAGAGAAACAAGTGCAGCCACCTTTTCCACGTATTTGGAAATGGAAATTGTAGGTCATGAAAACCATTTGAATTTGGCCTTCCTAGCTGCAGCTTCAAATTAATAGGATGGAAATGACAAAAAGGTGGAATCACACTGCCTGACAGAGGCTAAGTCAAACGTTCAGTAAAGCTCTAGCTGCTCTTTTTCATCGATGGCAAAACCCACTGAAAAGTGGTGAAATTACTAAAACCCCATCTTAATTAGCCCTAAAATTAACTCTGACAGATAAATATTCTTGGAACAAACTTGGAACGAGATTCTGAAAGGAGACTTGAACAATGTACAAGACTATGAACCAAACCTGGAAAGCACACACATTAAATCATTTTTCTGCTTATGGGTGCAAGCCATAAATTAGCAACTGCTTATGGCATCACTATATGAAGGCAAAAAGTCTACAGAGACTTCTTGATTCCATTAACTGGCATCAGACATCAAAGCTAAATTCTGTCAACAGTTTTTGCTACTTTCTTGTCTCTTATTAGTCTTAGCCAGAACTTTACACCTTAAGAAATTAAAATGCCTCTACAGTCATTAAACACCCAGGCAAGCAAAAAGCCACCATGAATCTCTGTTTTACTTTTGAAGCTCAAAGAAAGAGGCTATTTCCATGGCCAAGTTGTTGATTTTTTTCTGAAAAAAATATTACATAGAGTTAAATGCACAAGAGCAAAACCTTAGCAAAGTTTTGGTGAGTATGGGTTTATGTAAAGAAGACATGGCAATGGGAGGGTGCCCATGTATTCCCTTGATTGCATTATGTACTAAGAATCCACAATTTCACACTGGAAAAACATCTTGTTATCCAATGTATTTATTGGTTAACAGCTTTGGCTGTTTTTCTGTGTGACATGTAATGACGAAAATGTATACAAAAAAGGAAGTTGTTAAAATCATATTTATTTGTCAGAAATGGGGGAGAGCCCTGGCTACACAAAGCCCAAGAGCTTTCTTCAGAGCGTATTTATGTGTTGTGAAATTTACCTTTCTTATCTTTCTTTTCTTCTTCTTCTCCTCCAGCCCCTAGCAGGGTGAAGATGATGCCTGTCTGAGAATTCACACCCACAGCAGTTACCAGCATCCGTCCAGAGCCTTCCATGACGTGAGTACCTGAAAATATGCAGTGAGAGTTATATGTAGCTGAAAAAATAGAAAGAACCACCATTAAATATTTTATGCAAGACTTTTACTATAGTACTGAAATAAATTTGTTACATTTAAAAAATCTATACTGAGGTAATATAATTACATACCAAAAATAACCCCTATTGTATGTTATTCTCTACCAAGAATGGATGCTTAACTGCAAATCCCAGGGTGCACCTGCATGAACCACACACATCAGATTCCTTTTTCAAAAGGAATGTTGCCACTAACCGAGTTTGCATAATTGTGGGAAAGTTTAGCTTCATCTAGTTAATTCTTGTAACTGAGCAGTCTTTCAGAGTTCTGCAAGCATTCCTCTGTGACTCTGGTCAAGACTGCACTGACTGCACATGCAATATTGTCACATAAATGAAGTGAAAATACATGTGCGGTTGGTTTCTTCTCATCTTGCTCACTTGATTTACATGCATAGAAAAAATGTTTTCGAAGACAATTTCACGTCTTTAAAATGAAAAAAGCCACACAAAGTCTTCAAGGAGATGTTACAGTAAACCAGCAGAATCCCAAACAGGCACTTGAAAACAAATTCATTGTGAGAGATTTCTATTACTGCAGTACCAATCAAAATGTACGTTAAGTTTTCCTGAGAAGGATCATTTGTTTAACTAGATAATTTTACCATTCTTTAAAGTAAATTCCTTTCCAGAAATATTTCATGCTTTAGTGTACAGAAATTGTTTATTTACAGCTCTTGTTCCTATATTGAACCAAACAATAGATGCATCCAGGTCACACATAGCCTCTAAGAAACCTTTTGCTATGAGTTGTGGGAGCAAAAACCAATAGAAATTCCCAGAAGTGATGGAAAATATTCTGATTTACATCTTGGAAAAAATTTATAACCGAGCAGAAAACTGTTATGCCCATTAAGCGTAAGTCACTGTGAGAACACAGAGGAAAAGCTGTAATTTCTCAACACCAGAGCAAGGACGGGAAGCTTACTGGACTTGTACTCTTTTAAATATTCTTTCCTGTATATGAAGGAGGAAGTAGTTTGGAAACGATGAAAACAGACTGTAACACACCAGCTGTCAGCCCTGAGAAACAAAATCACAGCACACAAAAAAGACGGGTGTACATTTATACCTCCAGGTGAACTATGGGAAGACCCATGGTTAACTAGAACCTGCTCAGGAAGTATTCTGTTACTTAACAATTGGTTTTAATCCTAGGTGCTACAGTTCTAAATACATTTTATTTTAAGAGCAGTCATTATTCCCCATTTGCAGCTGTGGAACACCAGAAGAATGAGACCAGATGGAATCAGAACAAGTTCACCAAAAATGTGAGATCCACTGACCTTCCTTAAGACAACACCACAGTTTCATTCATGCTGCAGCAGCACGAATTTGGCAGAGGCATTAACTGGCTTGTCTTAAATAGTGCTGTGGCTAATGAGGTAAAAATTCTGGTAAGCTTATTCTCAGCTATCTTGCCCCTAGTCACTCACCCATGACCATCACCAACTACTACTCAACATTTTAAAACCGAAGTTGTTCACTGGGGCCTGTAGTTGTGGAATGTACTGCAGCAGGGCACACCTGAAACCACAACAAAAGAGACATCTTCAAACAAGCTTTCTGCTAGCTCCTGCAACATGGACTCCTGACTGACTGCACCACGAGCTGGCTGCACTGAGCACGTGGGGAGTAGAATTGATTTCGCAATGAGAATCTTATTGGGCATTCAGGTCTCCTAACCCTGAATGGCCACAGAAAGATCTTTTTTCCCCTCCCTTTAAAAAAAAACACTGCTTTTTAGGTATAGAAAATATACTCATTTCAGTGAGTTCTCTCAAAAGCTAAAAAAAGTGAAGATATATGGACCTGTGCCCTTATACAGATTTGTATTATACACACACACACACAAACGCTTGCTGTTCATCCAGTCGCTGTCCTAGAACATGGTAAGCAATGCAACTATCTATTTATAATCAAAATATCTTTCTCTAAATAATCAAAATCTCTCATGTTCTTAAAAGGAAAATAGAAACACAGAACAGAGAGAACATCTGTCAACACTGAACCTAATTTGAGAGCATAAATATCTCATCAGAACACTGAGAAAACTTCAGCAGAAAGAAGCCAAATAAAAACAAAAATGCACTAATGGTCAGACATCGCAAAGAAAAGCAACAGACTTTCTGAGTTCATTGACAACTGTTCCTGTGGCTTTGTGAGACAAAATTTGAGTCCTTAAAATGTCATTTGCTTTCTTTCATATGATTGATAGAGAAAAACATCACAGGCATACAAATCAGGACTGCCACCCAAACAACAAAACACAAGTTATGTTCAAGCCTAAAGGAACAGAACAGATCTTTAAAAACCAAAATAAGCTTCATTGTATTGGCCCAGACAAAACACAAAATGTCTGAAACTTAACTTCAAAATTTAGAGGAACCTTTCTTTTTTAATGTTAACACCATTTAAAATATATTTCAATTAAGAACTTGCTTTTAATATTCCCATGTCTTTTTCTGAAGGACTCTTTGTATTGGACTACAAGGGTGGGTAGAAATATCCTCCAAAACTTGGCACACACATTTCTGTTTCCAAACCACTCTATTAAGAAAACATGTACCCACCAGATTTCACCACCCTACACCAGGAAAAGACAAACCTGCCTTAACCTGAAATGCCTTTCTGAACCTTTTCCTAACATTAGTTTTGTAAAACATAATTCAAACCTGTTCAGGTGCACACAAAAGCATGTTTTAGAGATGATACTAATTTATCATCACATTATGTTCCGCTAGTGCTATGGAGAATTCAGCAGCATCTAAGCTAAGCCACAGAACTGACCTCCTTTCACCTAACTGGCAATTTCACCATTTAAATGGCATTATACTACCTTGAATAAAGACATGGGTACTGTAACTTCAATCAGCTATTGTTATAGAAATGGAGTTTTGGAATGAATGTGTGTTTTTCACTGATCTGCACACTAAGCACATATTTCAGCTTCATCTTGAACAATTCTACTGGCCCCTTTCCTTCTCAAGACTGGTTTTTCAATATTAGTAAAATCATTCTTTCACATGCTGAGTATTTAATTTCAAGTTAATTAAATACTTACTAAATTATGACTATTCCAAGATACAAAAGGAAGAAGTCTAGTTTAGTAAAAAAAGATAGAAACAGGTTCAATGGATAAGAAACCTATTACAGCGTGTACTTCTCAGACAAAAATGCCACTAAGCATGAGACTGCTCAGAACTACCTGGGTTTAATAGTAGTACTGGTGAAATAGATTGGAAATAGAGCTGAAAAACAAAAAAGAAAGCTAGAGCTGGGCAGTTTGGGGGTTTTACACTGATTTGCTACTTCCAGCAAACTTGGGGTGAACAAAAGTTCTCAGCATATCTAAGCAGCTGTTTCAGTCACTGCAGTTACTAAGAGGTAACTGAAATTAATAATAAGGTGAACAAACCACCAGAAGAAACCCCCTCATCCACAAGTAACTTCAACAACCGGAACTTCTGAAGTGAGCTGCTCAGTTCGGACCATTTCTGATGCACTGGAAGCCCAGGGCCGAGTATTTCCTGGCAGGGAATGAAGACAGAATCAAAACTACTTTTCTCCAGAAAACAACTGACCCGGTTCCTCACTCCAGCTTCTTTTTTTTTTCCAAACCTCACAAAGCACCACAACAAGAGATTTCTTTTGTATATGTGTTCTTAAATAAGCTCTCTTTCTTCATTTCAGATCCTTGTTGTGCACTGATACAAGTAACCACCTATAAGAGTCAGGTTAGAGTAAAGTAGTGATCTGTCAAGTTCAGTTCAGCAAGAACTATACTGGGTGAGTTCCTCTATGTAACTCTTTCATACCTTAATCAAATTAATCTAAATGCCTGGGGAAAAAAAAAGGTCTAAACAGTAAGCCTCATAAGGCATTTTGTTACTATTATAATACATGGTACTCCAAAATACTTCACTGTGTGCAATACTGAGGCCAGACTCGTATTCAAAATGTCTCTATTTAGGAGTCATGGATTTCTGTGAACTTTGAACTACACAAAACTTAAAGGGACCCATCAGCTTCAATCAAGGCAGTTGAGTAGCAGTTGGTTTGCTTACCCAAGTTGTCTTCATTGTTGGTTGATATATGCCATGCAAAAAAATACTATGTCAGCACAATCTCATTTAAGCTGATCACTACTGATGCAATGGCTTATGCTACACCATGAATGCTTCTTCTAGTTCAGTCTGTTACTGAACTAAAAGAAGGAAAACGTTTTAGACAGAAGTACAGTGGAACTATATAAGAGAAGCTGCTTCCTTTGGTTTCAGGTATATCATATCAGCCTATCTATTTCTATGTCTGCCTTCCTAGGTGGCACCGAATGTGCTATATACAGATGGAACTATCTGCTTTAGCCAGCACTTGTACTCCTAGAACTGCTTCTCAAGTATGGTAAATGACTATCTGGATGATCAAACAGGACATTAAGCACAGAAACTCATTTAGTTTAATTATGTCATCCAAACTGACTGCATATTAAACAAGTTGTTCCAGGTGCCGATGGTGAAAATAATACTCCCTGATTGGGGTGTTTATCCTGCACCAAATTTAAACTCACCAAACAAACTGTGGCTCCAATTCAGGTGTTACCTTTTTTCAGTTATTCCTGTCAAGCCTGAACTGTTTTTATTTCCAACAGATGATTAAGGGAGAACAGTGGCAAGCAACATCCTGCCAACATCTGTCTAAACTACAGAAACCTACCTGAAGATAACTGAACGATGTCTTCAAGTACAAAGATAAGAGGAAAATTTATGGTCTGTCTGATGGTTTTGCAGGGGATTGATTCAGGTGAGGGTTTCTTTCTTTAGACAAGTTGTATATAAATACAGATCTGGGCTAACATCCAAGGCAAACTGAGTTCTAACACCCACCCCTGAAAGACATGGTGCTTTACAAGCTCTCAGGTTTTGGGCTACTAATGACTTCCACTGGGCACATCAGCTCTCACGTCACTGGGATTAAACTTTGTACTGTATCGATGGAAAAAGGTCTTTCTTTTTTTTGCTTGAGAGAGTATCAACTCCTGAACAAACAGAGTTTAGAGATTTTCTAACACAGTGTGAGTAAAACATCATTAGTATAAGTATGGAACAAAGGTGAGTGCAGTGCTTGTTAAAATATCACATTAATTCCTCACCTTCTTTGTAATCACAATAGGGATTACATGGGAAGAGAGAAAAATAGAGTACACACTTGATTTAACTCTGCAATAAAAACGTAAAGACAAATTTCTCTCCTCACAGCAAAAAAATCTGAGTTTTGGTAAGCAACACAAAACCATCTCTTCTCCTAACTTGACTGCTTTCCCTTTCTCTCCCTTTCAGGGCAACACCTTCATGTTTTTCAGAGCCACCATGGAAATCTATGGGTATTGAAAAAGATCTGATTCACTTTAGGAATATGTGAGTGTACATGAATCAATGGAAACCTCATGATCAGAAAACCTCTAGAACTCAGCAACAGTTGATTTTGATAGAAGCCAATGATATTCCATGACAGAAGTTTCTATAAGAAAATATCACGATTAAAACGATCTCTTTAAAACGAAACCGTCTGTTGCAGTTACGATGTTTACAGAACAGCACAACTGCCAGCTAAGAAAAAAGAAATGAAAAAAACTGCACAAATATTTCAAGGACAACACTGGATTACTGATTTTGTTAGGAACAGCACCAGTGAGCTGCCCTTCCTCCAAATATCCCTGCAGGCCTCCCTGCTTATACACCAGAAAGCATCTCCAAGAGAATCCTAAATTAATCCAGAAGATAAACCAAATTACTGTAAATCTAGCAAAAATGAGTCAGTACCTTCATACACTGGATGTCAGGTGGATGTCACAACACTCCCTTAAATTCCTTTCAGTACCTCAGGGAGCCAGAGGGACACCAAAACCTCAAAAACCCCAACTGGCACTGTCCCCACCAACTGAGCATTTCTGCATGAGCTGCAAATACTCAGCTCTTCGTTGTACCTTCCTCGCACAAATGCACCCTTTGGAGTTTGCAGATACACCACTAAGCTTTACTATCTTCTATTTAACATGTGTAAACACATTTTCAGGCATCCACAACTTGGAAACATTTAGGGTTTTACAACATGAACATCAAAAGGCCTACACTTGGCAGCACACTGCAGCAAAATAATAAATAAAACCCAGAATATTTTTAAAGAAACTAAAGGATTCTTTTTATTTCCTAAAAAGCCATTTGTTTTGCTGGTTTAGTCTCAGAAGTGACAGAAACTTTTTGTGTCATTTGAAAACAATAATCCAGTACACAGTTTCAGGGAGCAAGATGCTTGCAGCTTGCCAAAGTTAAAATGAATTAACATGGTCTTCTGCAACATGAAGTCCGTGGCAGTGGCCAGTCCACCAGTAACATTAGCAATTCCTTCATCTTAAGTTAATGCAGCTACGTTTGACTGAAGGCTGGCGGGGTTTTAGCAGCCCACAATTCCATATGTTACATGATAAACATTCATAACCTGATAGTCAGTGCTCTGATTATGTGATGGCAGGTGTTGCCTGAGAATCTCCTGCTCAGGGAGGCAGGCTGGGGCAGGAATGCTGCAGGGCTGCATGTCGACCTGCTGCACCACCACATCAGTGTTCTATTTGGGGTGCCCCTTGGCTGACCCTTGTATATCCAGACAGCAAAGAGAATCTTTTCCATGTATAAAAAGCTCAAGTATATTTGAAAATGACTGTTTCAGGTTATAACACATTGATGATGACTGTGGGATCAGCAGGCTGTTACGTTGTGATGACATCCCAGCTGGGATATTGACAATCAACCTATTTAGAAACTATCTTTATGAGGATTAAAAAAATCACATTCTATTTAACCAATTTACTGTATAGAATTATATTACAAAATACAAATACTACAAAGAGCTTGAATTTACCACAGAAGCTAAGCTCACAGTATTCTAGTATTCTAGCATTTCCTTCTAAGCACATTGGGTTTTCTCTGTTGTATCTAGCACATACACCAAGTGTTCAAAGAGACTTTAAAATGCTCGTTTCCTCTGAAAATACTTCATTTCCTTCTCACTTTATAAAGCACGGCAATCAGAAATAACTGCACACAATCAAACCTCCATAGCATGTCCTTTGAATTACAAAGAGAAGGCCAGTGTCTGTGTTCAAAAGATCAGTTACTAAAACCTGACGGTGTGGTAAAACGAAACAAAGCAGTTCATAAGAGATAACTCAGCAAGAATTCCAGCAGATTTACCTGACAGGAGCATTGGGTCTTTGTCAACAGACTTGCGGACTTGGTCTGACTCTCCAGTTAAAGAGCTCTCATCGATTTTAAGATCATTTCCTTGAATAAATATCCCATCAGCAGGTAGAAGGTCACCTTTCAGTAAGAAAATGGTCATGGAAAACCAGAGTGGTTTAGTAAGATTGTTCTTATAACTACATCATAGTTTTCATTGTAAAATCACAATTAACAACAATTGCATTAAAATGTAAAATGAAAGCAGAAGTGAAAGAACTACTACCATATCTGTCCATGTTAGCCACAGAACTCCAGTCCTGCTGGGAAGGGCCTTTTGTATTGCGCATAGTTTTTGCCTAATCTTGTCCCAGAATCAAAATGCATCACATTTAACATATGGTGAACACAATAATCACTGAGATTTGGCAGGGGGAGTGCTGCTGCTCTTGAACATGCCATGCAGGTTCCTCTATTAGCCTGCACAGGAATGAACAGTGGCTGATGAAGGTCAAGTTGCCCTTTCCCCTTCCCCACTCTGGAAGCCCTTCGCTGAGTCCAGGAGAAACCTGAAGGTTGACAGAATGGGCATAGTGCTGGAATTCACCATCTCAGCCAAACACAGAGCTCCTGCAAAAGTCACTGGAGCCCAGGGCTTTCCCTGGAGCATATAATTAATTATAAAACATCATTCACTAGATGCATCTGATCTGGGGGAACTTACAGGATCCATGGCTCTGGAGCAGCCTACCAAATGGGGTACCCACAGAGGCACAATTCCCTTTCACAGAGCATTTCAAAATACTTCCTCTTATTACTAAGAGGACAGAAACGAAACATTCCAAACAGTGTCCTCCTCCATGAAAGAGAATTGCCTTTGTATGAACAGTTATTGTCCTTGTCAGTGAGAGACAGTGAAGATTGCAACAATAACATGAATTACCTAGTGTAATTTGACAGCAAGTATCTCAGGTTTTCCTTCTACCCTAACAACCAAATTGTTATCTTATCATAGGCAACAATAACACCACATAATTCTCTTTTACATCCCTTCCAGTGAAATGAGTCTGTTCTGCTAGAAAGGGAAAACAGAATAAAGTTCAGGAAAGTTGCCAGAACTTACCATATTTCACCTGTGCAATGTCACCAACTACTATCTCTGCCACTGGGATCTGGATAACCTGTCCACCTCGCACAACAGTAAATTTCTGTTCTTGCTCAATACGACTTTGAAGCCCACGAAACTGCTTCTCCTTGCTCCAGTCATTGAAGGCAGTGACAAGCACAACACAGATAACAGAGAGTAGGATGGCAGCACCTTCAATCCAGCCAGCTTCAGCCTCACCTTCATCTTCAGCTCCTCCTGTTGCAGTACCACATCCTGCAAAGACAACGTGAAGAACTGGTTAGTCACGTGAAGATTGGGTTGATCATGTTTATCACAAGATGAAAAACTTGCTGTGAAATGACAGCAAGGGTAAGAAGCAGAACTGCTTTGTGAAGTCCTGTCTGCTAAATGAAACATGGCAGAATAGAGGAAAAAACAGAGAAATAATGTCTGAGGAAAAGAGAAAGAAATCAACAGAAACTTTAGATCTTTTATTTTTCCTGCTGAACAAGGTATCCCTGATAAACCTAAACTAAACAAACAGACGAAGGCACCAATTCTGTTATCCAATTAGAAGGATTGACAGCTTCACCTGGTCCATCAAGCACTTCCAGAAAGAAGGAGTAACATCAATCAATGCAAAGCAGTGGCATTAAATTATTATAAGAGATTAAATTAAAATGGATGTAAGAAATATTTTTCACTACATACAATTTCTAAATATTTCAACTCAATGCACTTATAAAAACACTTGTTTAGAAAACACAAAGTTGATCTAAGAGTATTAGTATTCAAATGTGATACTGAAATGTATTAGGGAGCACTGAGTAAAAATAATAGCATAATATCAATTCATCATTCTTCCTTACAGAGGAATACAGTGGGGCGTGCTTATAGAACTGGATGTTATTTTTGCCACAAGTAAAACAATAGGAAAAAATACATTCTATGTATTAATTCTGAAGTGTTAATTCTGAACTGCTTTAGACACGTTGCTAATTATTTATTTCAAAGTAATATGCAACTAAAATGTAAACCATTTCCTAGATAGTGTTCACAAAACAAAACCAATCTAGCTCTCCTTCTTGATGAAGGTAGCTTGTCACAGTGGGCAGCAAAGTACAGTTCAGAGATCCCAGCGGACAGGAGAGAAGAACCAAAGGCTGAGCCTGAACAGCACAGCCTCCTCTCCCAGGTCCGAGGGAAGAAGGAAAACTCTTCACTTTTCACACAGAACTGACCCAAGGAGGCATCCAGCATCACTCCTGCATCTTTGCCAGGTACCAGGGAGCTCAGCACCTTAGCAGCTGTGCTGCTTCCACCTATGACTGAAGTTTAATTTTGGTATAGTCGTCACCTGTCACCAGAGGGAATTAAAAAGCAATTTGATTTCTATTTTTAAGTCACAAAGATTTCCCTGTAGCATAAGCACCATAATTCGTTAACCAGCCGAGTAATTACTCTTGCGTAAGAACAGCAACAAAATTACCTAAAGCCAAAGGAGGAAAGATGACACTGAACGTCCATTTAAAGAAGTTTAAACAAGGTGACTTCGTTTCTTTCTTGTGTGCAATAAAGATGGTTCTGTTAGTAAGGGCCTTGTACTGCGGATGAAGGTTCACACAGGTCAGTGGTCTAATGACATCTTTGCTAGGAAACACCCTTCTCTTGGGAGTGTGCTTTGCCTTTCACTTGGGTTAAGTCTACATTTAAACAACAGTAACATTTCAGAGCAATTTCATTATGGTTTTAAAAGAGATTTTCAGACAGGCAGGATTTAAAATGCCACCTGCCCTTCAAGGAGTGACCCATCTGTCAGGAAACGTGTTCTTGAACTATGTTGTGTTCTTGCTTCAAAGCTGTTTCAGAATTATTCCCCTCTGATGGTGGAGGGGATGGGACTTGCACCTCTATTGGTGTAAGTTTGTAGAATTCTTGTTCTTCTGCCATTTTGTCCCACAGGATTTTCTAAAAATTGTAGAAAGAGCTAAAAGAATTTACAGGAAGAAACTGGATGTGTTCATAGGAAAAACTCCACATACCGCTTAACTATACACTTATACTATCTGTCCTCCTTACTGTAGAACACAGAGTGACACAGGATCGACTTTACAGGTAAGAGGAAAATAAGGAATAGAAATAAGACACCCAAAAGACCTAATAACATTATGCCTAAGTAGCAAAATGTAGTTTAAAGCATCTAATGTCTATTAAGAAAGCTCATATGAGCTTTTAAAAACCGTTAAGGTGTGAGATTGCCATTATGCTTTCACAAGATAGTACTTGTTTCCCGATGCTGCTAACGAATCTGACTGAGATTTTATTGAAAGGCACAGCCCAAAAGCAGCACAAAAGAATCTGTAATGTGCATGTGTGATTTGTGCTGGGGTTTATTCCAAGACAGTCAATTGTGAAGTGCTAATTTACAATTAAATTTAACACAGGTCCTATCTGTCAGAAGATTCCATTTCAGAGAAGTAAACAAGTTTTAATGTGAAACTCTTTCCTACTGTAGCTATGAGCATATGCTATGCGTGACATCCCCCAAAGCCTCAGCCTTGTGAGACACAAAATGCATACTGCATCTGAAACTGAGATTATAGATTTGACTGCAAGTCAAGAATGTAAGGAGCCTGAACTCCGCTGGCACCAAAAGAGCAGAGGAAGCCATGAGATGGATTAGCTTATTCCAGAAGTGCACAGGAACAGGCAGGTGAGCCGAGGCCCCCGAGGAGTGGGGGGACCTGAAAGTGCCAAGGCAAAGGAAGTTCAGAAATACAAGAAGGGACTACTAGGGTTGTGTCTTCCATAAGACATCACAAAATACGTTACCAAAAACCTGTGGGAGGAGAACGGCATTTTATAAGCTTAAATTTGACCAGAAACGGGTCAGCAAAGACTGTTGAACAAGTTCTCTATAGAAAGGAGATGAAAGGAAAATCGAATCCAAAGGTGAAGAGGATCCAGGAAAAAAAGAAAAAAGAAAAGGAAAGTAATTCAAACCAGCACACATAACCAGTCCACCTGAAGTCACAACAGCCTGGGCTGCTATCTCATGAGAAACATGGGCTACAAAACCTGCTCAAGAACCCGGGGAGCACCCAGCACTCGACCTGTACTAGACCCATTTATGCACCTAATTAATTGCCAGTCATTTCAAAATCAGCCTGAGAAGCCTACTCTGCATTAGCACTGTTTTACTTATTTATTAGGTTTCGAAAGAAAAACCAAGATACTGGAAGGGAACTGTATGACAGAAAAGACTTGAATACACTTGCACCAAAAAGGGAAGGTGAGAAAGCAAAGGAAGATACACAAGAGCAGGTTGCTTCCAAGGTCACAGACACCATTTCAGTACATATTCCTTGTGAGAGCAACCAAATCTGGGCAAATGCAGAGAGCAGCAGGCAAGCCCTGTGCAGGTCAGAAGAATCTGTGGTTGATTTCAAGGAGTTCTGAGGAGATTCTTAAAGCTGCTTTGAACAGCACCTCAATTGCAGTGACAGACTGCACGGTCTTCAGCTGCAGCGTGGTAATTTTTAAATCAGAAAAGGAAGGTTTTTAAAACCTGTGAACATCTGTATGCTTAACAAAGTCCCAACCTACAGCACACACCTCTCAGCCCCTCATCTCAACCTACACAGTACTATTTTTAAGCTGAGAATAGCTTGTGTCATTTCAATTCCCAAGGAAAATCTCCCAACACTCCCAGAGGTAATTTTTTTCAGTCACTCAAACTGGTTTTGTCATCAGAAAGACAACAGTTCTCATGATAAAAACTTCTGATTTAATCACTTTCTGCAAAGACATTTTTCCTTAGCTGCAACTCCAGCACCGATGCTATTAAAGCAAACTGCGCAGCTCAGTTACAGCTTTGTCATTACAAGAGTTAGGCTCTTGCTACTACCACTCTAAGTGATGTTACTTTATCAAACATATCCAGTTGGAGGGCAAAAGGAACGATAACCACAGATTGTACAATGAATATCACAGAATCACTGTCTTAACAAGTATTTTTTAAGCTGTAACAGATATGGCAATATTTATATTTACATATTCCTTGTTGTGTCTTATCATTTGCTGCAAAATTAGTCCAAAAGATACTGAAATACCAAACTGCTTCCCAAAGCCCCCTGTGAGATGCTGCACCATCAGTGGCTGGGGCACAAAGCAGCAAGGTCAGCGGCTGCTGGCAAAGCTTTGCGCTTTGAGTGTCACCCCAGAGCCACGGCTGACTGCAGAGGTGCAGAAGTGACTGGAACTCAGAACAGCAGGGTTCTGCCTTGCTCTCACAGCCTCCAGGGACTCCTGCACCCGTGACAAACATCTGCTAGTTACTTAGAGTGAGCCAGATCGCATCCTCCAGAAGCACAGAAGGGCTTTACTAGTGCGAGATGTTTAGACTACACACATGCCTCAGGTTTAGGGGCTGCACATTCTCTGCGAGTGATTTTTGGATACTTACTTGAAAAACATTTTAGAATTCCTTATTTGTGATGCATCAGTTACTTACATAAGGACTGTGGCGTACGGGGGAGCAGAAAAACTCATTGGGTCCCTGTAGGTTATTATGTAACTGCCAACTTTGGAGTTCACTATTAAATATTTACACATTTCCTTGCATGTTCATGCAAGGAAACAAACCTGTAAGCCCTGAAAGCGTGTATATATTCACATAGTCCTTCAGCCTGACAGCAAACATTTGTGAGCACAGAAATGGTCATTAAAATACTCAATCAGCTTCAAGACATGCGAGATGCTGATCAAGATTCTTCCTGGAACCTCCAAGGGAAGGCATTTTGTAAAGATCAGTTGGAAGGATAGGGCCCTACCTCCCCCAGAGGCAATGGAGAGGAATGGGACCATGAAACTATTTCTATAGTTTCTGTTTCATATTCAGTTTAGTTTCCTTTTGTTGCCACAGGGAAGGCAGAGAAAGGCAACCCTAGGAATGTTAACCACAAGTCCTGTTCTTAGGGATTGCAAGGGGAAAGTTTAACATCTGATTCACTATAATTTCACTGCACCTTGCTCAGATCTAACAATGCCTGGTAAATACAGCCACGTATTCAAAAGGTACCACACAGTTCTCAAATGTAAGAATCAGACCTTTGGAAGCTGTCCTTTGTGTTTATTGCTAAGAGTTCAAGTGCCGTTACTCAACAGCGCTTGCAAGGTCATGTCCTAGCTGAGTTTTACTCGCAGGATTAATACTTCTGGAGACTCTCTTCCTGGAAAATATGTGAGAAAACTTGATATTTCATCCCAAAGTT